CCCGCTGCGCGTCTAGGATCCAGCGGCAGGACCGGCTGGGGAGATGGGCCACGCTCCCCGTGGGTGGTCGGACACTGGACACGCCACAGGCCTCAGTGGTCGCTGGGCTCACGCCCCTCCTCCCCTGGAGACTGCCCACGCCCCTGATGCATCCTAGAGAATGCCCATGCCCCATGTCCTATCCTGGAGCATGGCCGCGCCCCTGAGGCCTTCTGGAGGATGGCCGCGCCCCCTGATGGATCCTGGAGTCTGGCCACACCTCCTGAAGCCTTCTGGCTGCTGACTCCGCCCCGTGGCGTCCCCTGGAGCCTGGCCGCGCCCCGTGAAGCCCTCTGGAGGGTGGTCACGCCCCACGAAACCTTTTGGAGGGTGGTCACGTCCTAACGCACCCTAGAGACTGCCCATACAGTCTGCCCCTGAAGTCTTCTGGAGACTGAACACGCCTCTTATGGCCTCCTGGAGTTCACCCCGCCCCCAAGACCTCCTGTGACTGGCCACGCCCCCCGAGGTATCTTGGAACCTGGCCACGCCTCCTGAAGCCTGCTGCAGGGTGGCCACGCCCCCTATGGGTCTCCTGGATGTCCACACCGCCCCTAAGACCCCGCCCCTAAGCTGCCTGGAGCTAGGCCACGCCCACCCCTGGGTCTTGGAATTCCAAGCTTCTGGGGAGAGCCTCGACCCGCAGGAAGCCAGGAGACCCCCGAAGTTCTCCCCAAGACTAGCCACCCACTTCAGCCTCCCGAAAACACCGGCCGCGCCCCTCGGTCGCCTGGAGGCTGGACCCCCGGCCTTCATCTGGAGACTGGCCACGCGTGCACGCGCACTCACGCACCCTTAGGTTTCCCGGAGATAGGAACTGGTCCCTTTGGGTCACCTGCCCACCAGACCCTCCTCCCCATCACCAGGCGACAAAACTAACCTCAGGGTCCCCCAGCGACCACGCCCCGCGGGCGCGTGGAGCCCGGGCTCAGGGCTTCCTCCCTACGTGGTTTGCAGGGTAACGGGCTGCGTCCCCAAGGGGGGGAGGACGCCCCGCCCCTCCTCCGCCCTCCCCTACGGGCTGCCACCAAAG